TTTCAATCAACCCTCAAAAAACAAAAAAAAAAAAAAAAAACAAAAAAAAAGAAACTATAATATCTAATAATATGACAATTAACGATGAGTATCCTGTTCAAAAAGACACTGCCTCCTTACTACGTAATAACTTCTTTCGTAAATACGGTGCCACGGATTCTAAAAAACATGTGATAGAAGAAATTGTCTTGAAGCAACAACCTTTACGTGACGTTCAACTCGACGGTCAACTCGAGTGTGGTGAACAAGATTCTATAGTTCCCACATCGAATTGTCCCTCGAAGTGTACCATTTCAGAGTCTTATTCCCCTGCTGCTTTGGTTGTCAAGAACGACGGAAGTACTGCACGTGATAATTTCGGTTTGTGTCTATTTCATATAAAATAATTACCGGTATTATAATTCTTTAAAAAACTCATCCTTTTTTAAAAATATGTTAGCACTTGAAAGAACCTTTCTGTCATGGTTACGTCTAAGCGCGGCCCTAGTTCTAACGGGTCTTTCATTTTATTCACGTTTACCATTAATTCCTCAATCTACTATACCCTTTCTCGAAGATCCACATCCAACGGGACTCTTACTTATATTTTCAGGTTTTTTTATTCTTATATGGGCCGTTATAAATTACTTCCAATTTCAAAAAATGTTAAAAGAGAAAATTGCTGTTGTTGAGAATGGAAAATTTAATTTTTTGGTAATCTTTTTTATCAGCTCATTAATATTCATGGCACTAGTCATAAGTATGATGTATGCTATCCAATCAGGAGAGAATACAAACGATGAAACTGGTGGTGCTTCATTTATTGGTTGATGGTGTTGAAATCTTGTTTCCATAAATTTTGTCTTTCATTTTATGTAATATATTTTAGAATTTAATCATTTTTTTGTACAGAAATAAAATTTTCAACTAATACTTTATAAAGATTTGAAATATCTGTGTATTGTAAAGTTATTCTACAACTTTGATAATAATTGTCCGAAGCGTAGCGAGGACTCTATTGTTTGAGTAATTTGTTAATCGACAATGTCATTATATACTAGGTATACATAAGAATGGTTAAAATTATTCATTATTTTAAATATTATTTATAACAGATAATTGATTTATACAAACTTCTTACGTACTTACCTGATACATACGTACGCACGTATCAGGTATCTGGTACGTATTTACTGTACATACGTACGTACGTACGTACGTAGGTAGGTAGGTAGGTAGCATACAAAGCGAACTACCGCCACAGAGTGGCTACAACGACAGTAACAGGTAGTAAACTGGTTAACTGGTGCCTTGTACATTAAATCACCTGACAGATGCACATCATGTGATACAATTTAATCTCAGATTACTGTTGTTTACCCGTGTAAAAAAAAAAAATAAATTGATCGCTTGATCCTTAACTCGTTACTCTCTTTTACCTTCTTTTACCTTCTTTTACTCTCTTTACTCTATGGAGTTTTCTAGAGACTGCAAAGATAATGAAAGTACACCACCTAATATGTCTCAGTTAGGCCAATTTAGGCGTTCCAAATCTTCTTCCATATTGGAACTTTTTAGAGACTGCAAAGATAATGAAAGCACACCACCCAAAATGCCTGAGTTAGGTCAGTTTAGGCGTGCTAAATCTTTTTCTATATTAGAACTTTTTAAAGACTGCAAAGATAAAGAAAATACTCCACCAAAAATGCCTAATACTCCTCCTAGAACGTTAAAATATTCTTCCCCATCTCATTCACCTTTGTCTGATCAAAGCGAAAGTCCACTTACCAGTCCATTAAAACGTATGGCTGAATCTCCAATTACCCATTATTTCAAACGAGTTGATATCTCAAAAACCGTGATTGAAAGTACTCCCACAAATTCTACTCCAAAAAATTCTGGTGATGCTGAATCATCTGATGATGAGTATGACGATGATATTGTGATTAAGTCTACACCTTGCAATAATTCAAAAAAGAATAGTTCCACAGTTTCCATCTCTGATGAGAGCATAACGTTGGTTTCTCCATCTTCGAAATTGTCACCTTTAAAAAAAGTAACCGTATCTGCTGCTGTCGGTCTTCGTCGCGTTTCAAAATCTCATGTAACTCCTCCTACCAAAAGTGGAATTAATGGGTATTTTCATAAGATGAAAGGAAAACATAAAAAGGTTTCAAGGTATATTACTGAGGATAAACTTCGTGATGTATCTCCAGAAATTAGAAAAGAAAAAGTATCCTCTGTCGGTTTTCGTCACGTTTCCAAAACTCATGTGACTCCTCCTACCAAAATCGGAATTAATGGTTATTTTCATAAGATGAAAGGAAAACATAAAAAAGTTTCAAGGTATATTACTGAAGATAAATTGCATGACGTATCTCCAGAAACTCTCCGTGTCTTTGCAGCTGCTCGTGGTGGTGATAACTCGTTACTCCAAGAGTATACTATGGAAAATGTATGTGTCTTAATTAATTTCTCAAAAAAAAAAATTTTTTTTCTTGTTATATATATGAAGTAGTCTAATTATTCTTTATCATCATCCTTCTTCAAATATAGCCCTTTATCTAATCAAAGTTAATTGACTAGCATACGTATAATTTTCGGTTTCGTTTTTTTTATTTCTCTTTTTAGCATCGGCATGTTTTGAGTATAGGAAAATTTTTCACTGTTTAACTACTTGTTAAAAAAATTTTTTTTTCTACTTCTTGTTTGTGAGTTGAACTCATAATTTCGATTTCCTCTTTTTGATTGGTATCGTGTAGAAACATTTAATATGATTGCAAAAAAAAAAAAAAAAAACATTAAAACTTTTAATAAACATCTTAAAAAAACTAATCTCTCCTTGCATAGTCAAATAATTGCCGTATTAGTTTAAATTTATTAAAACTTAATTAGATATCGATATTGTATGAACTTTGCTTTTAATATCCTATTACTGTATTATTATTATTATTATTAAAAGTGTTGGTCATGATTAAAAAAAAATTTTGCACCCGAAGGCGCATCCACTCAAGATTGAACGTGTCATCCTTCTCTATATCGTTCCAATTTTAATAAGTGTCGCTCCGAAGATATCTGTTAATTTATATATTACCCCTATTCCTACATTCAAAAAATTATGGGATTTCAAATTTCGAGAAATTTTGATTGGTTGATTTTTTATATATATTATTAATTATTTAACAGTTAATTAGACACTGTATTACGTACGTCATACAAAAATGCACTAACGCTAAGTAATTATACGTAGCATCATTTGACTAAACAATTAATGTCACCCGACAACCAATTAAAAATAAGTTGTTACGTAAATACTATGGGATTACTTAATAATTTTTTTGTACGATACCGATACGTACCAATACCACGTATTTTTACCATTATATAATCTATCGGCAACATTATATTAATGGGCAGCAACAAATTTTGCCAAGATTCCCAACACGAAAACCTTTAGAAAATAACGGAAAATCCTGTATATGGTACCGATTATTGGTATACATATATTTGTTTTTACGTACGTATAAATATTAGATTCCTAAAAATCTGATCTTTTTTTTTTTAGACATCAATCAAAATCAATCTCAAATATATTGATATATATATATTGATATCAATATATTATATCGATATCAATATCGATATCAATATCGATATTATATCTATCGATATTTTATATCGATATCAAATATTTGACTAAATGTAACATGGTTATACAAGTGTTATACACCACTCCAATTTTAACTATATGTATAACTTAGTGGTACCATGTGATAAATACCCAAGTGAAATTTAAAGGGCTACATATACGTACGTACGTACGTACGTCGTACTGTACATTCATTTTTTATTTGAAAAATATGAATCGATATTTTATACGTATATTTAAGATTTGACTTGATTTACACATATAGTATATAATAATTCTTAATAACAACAGTGCGACTCTAAAATTTTTTAAAATTTCAAAATATATATGCAGTAAAAAACTCGAAATAAGGGTATTTTTAAACATCAAATCCTCCTTCAAAATCAGTTTCAGAATAACGCCCAAGTAGAGGTGTCCAACATAGAATCTGCACAAATGTGTACAAATTCTGATGATTCTGCTCAAAAACAGCCAAATAAGCAGAAAAATCAGAATTATCATTATTTATTTAATTATATATTACTAATAACAATAAGCAATATTCTTAAGTTTAATTGGTTAAGCAAATTATGCGAAACAAAATAAAGTAGATTTCTGGACACTATACGCCCAAGAACATCCCAACAAACGTGAGCGCCTAATATATACTGCATCAGTGAATTTATATATAGTAAATAAATAGGCCTTATCCAGGTGGAAGGTAATGCGTAGATGTTCTTTATTGCAGTACCATTAAATAGCAAATCGATTGTTATTTTATTTCGCTAGATTTTGTGAATAAATATGCCTTTTCCAAAAAATTTT